TGAATATTATAGGTGTGTAAACTCAGCAAAATATTCTAAAAGAGTCCAGTAGCCCATGATAGTATTGGGTCTTCCGCTTCACTGGCAATGTCAGAAATTGTTGACTTGAGTCCCCTACAGCTCAACATAATAGCATGGCTTTACTTCTTATATTTCGTTTTTATACTTTTTCTTTACTTGTAATTTGTAATTTTTATTGTCTTCTGTGCTTTTTATAAAAATGTCAGTGGGGAATTGTAGATCCCCCAAAAGGGTAAGCACACAGATATACAGATAACCTTCTTCTTGCACAGGTATACAGATACCCTACCTTCCTAGATATGGTTGTAAATAAGCTGTTAGTCCATATTTTATTTCACTCTTTACTTGAAATTTGTAATTTTTATTATTTTTATTCATTTCTCATTCTGATTTCCACATGGTTTAAAAATACAGATAGTCTTGAGTGAGCACATTGAGTACTTTAACTCACGGGACAGGCGATACCAGGGAGAGTCAGTTCCCATGTTCTCCGCTGGGATCCCTGCTCTGTAGGTGTCCTGAGAAGGGTTCATTTGCCTTTACCTTTGTTACAAAATAATATCATTGGTCAAAAGGGCCACATTTCTGATTTCCCATTGAAAATCCTTTCTGGCATTTAGGATGACTTTTTGTATTTATTTAGATGTAAGTTTATTTGTGATTCATCCATGGAAAAATATTTTGTTTGTTAAATATTTTCCTTAAATCTGGCAAATAAATCTTATTGTATTAATAATATGATAATTTTTTGGTTCTCTTATAAGCTGTTTTCTACAATTATAGCATATTCACCAGAATGAGAGTTGATCAGTTTTTCTAAAATGAGTCATGTAGTTGTGTAAAGCGAAAACTTTTGAGACCAAGGGATTTCTGAAATAAAAGTTTTTATTGAGCCTTTATAGATGTTAGCCAGAAAACGATGAAGTTCTGGGCCAAGTTCCAAAAATAACCAGCAGCAGGGCCAGGGAGCAGTTGGAAATAGGGCCACAGGCCCAGAGCTTAGAGCAGTTTTTAAATAATTAAGATTTAGGGAAGAAAGCATAGCTCCATATAGGGTATACGCAAGAGGGCAGAATTATATCAACAGGAAATACCTGGGACAGAAGAGCAGCCCACAAGGGGAACTGTAGTTGCTGCTCTGCACAGGTTGAGAGATTTACTGTCCAGAGGGTTGTAGGCCCAGGGGGCGTAGTCGGAAACCCTGGTGGTAGGCTGTTTGTAGGCCCTCAGTGAAGATTTTAACATAGGTTTAGAAGGGTCAAAGCCTTTCTTCCCGCTGCATCTGTTAGTTGATTAACTTCCCTTGTCTCTTACCCTGTCCATCTGTTCTTTTTTTTTTTGCAGAACCGGGGATTGAACTCAGACCCTTGTGCTCAGTAGAATAAGCAAAATGCTTATTCTACTGAGCCATCTCCGGGCACCCCCATCCATCCTTTGACCCTTATAATTAAACACAAGGCCTCTCTGAGTCTTTCTTTTATCACTTACTATGCAAATTTGTAGGACAATACAGAAAAATATAGTTATTTTAAAAACTGAACTGATGCCATTGCCATTTATAGAACCTAACAGAATTACCTCCCTTCGCCTGATCTTGGCCTAATTTTTTCTACTGTCAAGTGGTTCCAGGAAATTGACAGGTGATTGATTTGGTTTTAGAGGGTCCTGGAACTACACAAAGTGTTTTTCATATTGAGAGAGACATACCTAGTTTTTCACCAGTTTTAAGATTTATTGCCTCACTCTAACATGTTGCAAATGAATTTGTTTGCTATTTATTTGACTCAGAATGTAGTAATTGGTGTCATTATCCAAAGGGCAAACTTGATCACAGGGAAGAGTAGCCCTGTAATGCTTTGTGTTTTTCTCTGGCACCCCTGCAGGGCTGGAGGTTCGCTGGGTGGACTGCTACTTTCCTTTTACTCATCCTTCCTTTGAGATGGAGATCAAGTTCCATGGAGAATGGCTGGAGGTTCTTGGCTGTGGGGTGATGGAACAGCAGCTGGTGAATTCAGGTAAAAAAAAAGTCCTGTGTTGTGTCTACAGGTGTCGAAAGGGACACTGCCTTGCTGTGACATGGCTGTGTACCAGCTGCTCCTCTGGGCAGCAGTGCCATGCTCCTCTCCTCCGCGGCCACCAGACTCCTCTCTGGTGCTTGACTCTGAAGGCCTCGCTTCTCCCAGCTCATCTGGTATGGGTGTCTCTTCTTTGCAGGTCTTCCTTGTCAGCATTAGTTGCCTTGGGACATGTCACGAGAGTGCAGTTTGTCTTCCAAAAAGAACAAAGCCAACATGTAATGGCTTTGTCTTGTGTTCAGTGTGTATCTTGAGTGCAGCAGATATTTTGTAAATACACAAAACATAGTATAAAAACACTCAGGCCCAAAATGTGTAGTCCTCTGCAGCCTTCCACATAGGCAGTGCCATTAACTGAGGGAAAGTGGAAAGTTAAGGTCACTGATTAAATTCTGCTCTTATCTATATGTATTTGAGAAAGGTTTTTCCAGGTATTTTCTGTAGGGGCATTGCTTTCAACAAATCATTGCTTCTAAACTTAATTTCAGAGCTGTGAGGTTTTTTTAAAATAAATTATCTGAATTTAATTTGAAGTTGTTTGGAGTAGAAATCCTTCAGGGAAAGTGCGAGGTTGGCATGTGATCTCAGTGCATGCACAGTAAACACTAAGTGACAGCAGCTGGTGGATTTGCCAGGCCCCTCTGGCCTGCTCTCCAGGATGTTCACTGGAGGCCAGCTCTGTCTCCTACTTGGCTATGGGACCTTCTACAGCATAATACATGAGGGGTCCTTCTTAGTGACTAACAATGTGGAGACCATGGTCTATGTTGTCAGTTCTTGGGGCTGGAAAAGAGAGATGGAGTGGAACCAAAGAGACAGGGTGGCAGGAAGTGTTGGATCTTGTGTTGCTGGGAGACAGAGTGCCTGGCTTTCCCTCCTCACCCTGGTCACCCAGCGAAGCCCATTCTGCTGACTATACTGAATGCTCAGCACTGCACAGTGAATTTTGCAAAAGAGTTTATACATAGGATGCTGATAGTGAAGAAGTGAGACCCCCCAAATCCCACTTTTAGGAAATGGTTTATGGCTTAGGAATGGTTTATGTTTATTGTTTATGTATGGAATAAAGAGACAGGATGGGCTGAGGCATGGGGAAGGGTTTTTTTTTATGTACAGTACAGTCTACAGGGCCTCTCTATACAGATTGGACTCATAGCAGTCCTCATATTTTCAGCCTCCCAAGTGCTGGGATTATAGGCATGGTCCATGTCCACTATGCCCAGTCTTAATCACCATCTCAGCACACCCTGAGGGTGGGGCTGGCATGGCAAGCCAGGGATCAAACTCTGGCCCATGTGCCTGCCCAAGCAGATGCTTTAATCTACTGCACTATTGGGCTGGCCCTTGGGAAAGGTTTGTTGGAAGCTAGGAAAGTTAACAAAGAGCCTACACATGCATAATCCAACTTCAGGGCTCCTCATTGGATGCACATGGTAGTATGATTTGATGATGGCATCTTTGACCCTCACGGGTCAAAGAGAAATGTTGCTGGTAGCAGAACTGAGAGGATACTGCAGAACTGAGAGGTACTGCTTAGGGATGTGACCTCTAAAATTGGCCATCAAAACCAGAAGCTAAAAGCAACTGGAGCTAGAGGATTTATTCCACTTTTTCCTTGGATTTACACTTATGCCTCTTCCTCTCTCAGGGTCTGGGTTTCATAAATTCACAGATGCCTGTCTTCTGCTGAGGAAGGTAAGGGAAAGCCAGATTCTGCCAGGTGTTTTTCAGATATTTGAGGGACTATCCTTTTGGCGGGGTTTAGGAAAGATTGAAATTAGGGCCTGTGCAAGGGGCCTGTGAGACTTGCACTTGGATGCCTGAAGCCCGTGGGTTGTTGTTAGAACTCTGCCGATTAATAGCTGTGTGTCTTCAGGCAAGTGGCTTATTTCCTGTGATCCTTGGTTTTCTTACAGTAAAAACAGACTCATTGATGCCCTCCTAAATGTTTTGGTGTGGAGGGTGATTGAGGTGCTATATATAAAGTGATTGGCAAAGAGTCTGGTTACAGTAAACATTCACAGGAAATCAGTTGTTGCTATTGTAATATTTAATTTTTTCTGATGCTGAGAGACATTCATCCACGAAGGGTCTTCTTCATGGGAAATATTTAAACAACAGCCATCCTGCAAATCCCAGAATCAATTTCTAAGTAAATACAACCAGTTACTGCTTTGATCTGTAGCCATCTCTGTGTCCATGATTCTAAACTGAGTGACTGAATGTAAAGGAAACACAAAAGGCAATTAGAAACAGAAAGAAAAGAAAAATCAGTTGATAAATGTGTATAGATTGAATAGAAAAAGGTTAATTCAACATGTGAGGGAAAATATGTCAGACTTAATATCCTCTTGATAGGAGCTGACCTCACATAACATCTGTGATTTTTATTTATGGGGTGACCAGCTGGTATTATATGCTGTCCCTTCAAATTGTGTGTTCTTGTACATTGTCTAGTATCTTCCTGGGGTTAATATGAGGTTTATTCATGCAATAATTTGGCTGAATATAGTTATCTGAAACAAATTTCTAAGGCACTGTTATAAATTAATGAGATGACTGTTCTAAAGGTAGATCAGCCACGTCAGGTATTCTTGAAGGGAATGGCAGAGTAAGATACCCACACCTTTAAGATGTCAATACATTTTGGTGATTCAGAGTGGTGGTAGGATGTACTTTAAGATGTTGGAAATTGTCCCCATAAAATTTAAATTACATAGCTTGCAAGAGAGAAAGACTAAAAAATGGAAGATGACACAACTTTTAAAAGAAATTCTGTGTAGATTTTGCTCTTTGAATATGAAGTTATTATGACAGAGTTCTTCTCTGTGTTCTTGGAGATCAAGGTGTTTTGACTTCTGCAGATACAAATTCTAAATTCTGCACCTGGCGCTCCCCAGCTGCACACGTTGCTTACAAATGCAGCTGGTTTTCTGCGTTCTGAGGTCCTGCAGTCTGGAAGGGACTGGTGATGTCATCCTTCCAGTTTGGTTTCTTCTCCACTCCCTGCTTCTCTCCTACGTGTTCTTCCTTCCTTCCCCCTTCTCGCTACCCTTCTCTTTTCTCTTTTCCTCCCCTTCTCATTCCCTGTCTTTAGCAGTGTAAAGGACGGTTATAGAGTCTCCATTAGGGTTCTAATGTAGGGTTGGGGAAGCTCTGAAATGACAAACTGGGTGAGCTGATGTTGGAGCCGTGGCGGGAGCTGGCATCACTTGAGCTGTGCTCTATGCCAGCATCACAGAAAGCATGCTGTCTACACTGTCTTCCACATAACCTTAGTTAGAAGGCTCTGAAACAGATTCTGTCTGTATCCCTCTTCTATGGAGCCTGAGAAAGGTGACCCAGACCAAACAGCTAGATTTGCCAGTAAGCTGACCCAAGTCTTTCTAGAGCAGCTAACCATCCTTCAGTGCTGCCCGAGTGGTAAATTACATGATTTTATTTTTATTTTTTATTTTTTTATATATTTAGTACAGGGTCTATAGGGTCTCACTACGCAGCTTATACTCCTAGTGATCCTCCTGATTTCTGTCTCCCTAGCGCTGGGATTGCAGGCGTGCACCACCACGCCCGGACTCCATCTCTGGCTCAGTGAGCCTGGGGGTGGGGCCTGTGCAGCATGTGATGCCAGGGAATGAACCCTGGCTCCTGCACTTACCTAAGCAAGCACTTAGTCCACTGAGCTATGTCGTCGGCCCTCAGATACCTTTTGGAAGGGCTATGCCACCTTGTGGGTTATCTTCTATGATAGAGGGCATTTAGTCAAAGGATGAGAAGAGATTTCTAATTTAATCAGTGAAAACATTTTACACATGGCGGTGGGTTCTGGCAGACATGTGTTTTGCGACATGGAGTAAGGTTCTCCAAAGGCTTATAGAATTTTACTTTATTTCTTCTTTCCTAGACTGTAGTATCCTCACCACTGCTTCAGGCTCCTTAGACTTGCTGATTGCAGTGTGATTGGTGACCATTTTCATGATGACTCTTTTTTTCTGAGAGGGTATTTTGAGGACAAGACTGAGTCAGGTCCCCAAATACTATAGGCTTGTTTCCCATTGGGCTGAGTCAGGCTGCTTATGGCTTTTCGTGTGGCACAGGAGGATGATTTCTAAAGCATCACCAGGGATAACAGTGGCCTGCAATGGAACAGGAAGGAATTTACACTTCACTGAGCTCATGTGAAATTTAGAAGATTGTACATAGACCAAGAGGAAAGAAGAGGATCTGTAGTGGAAAATGACTTTAAGAATGGAGTCTGCTTCCTTGTGAAAATTTAAAAATTGATTCTTTTGGAAAACTCTTCCTAATACTTGCTTGGACAGTTTCCAGTTTCAAAAGTCACTGTTTATTTGATTATCCAGTATTTCTTGAAGTCCTGCTAAGGTTGTAGAAAACTGAATGAGTTTTTGCCAGCCTTTGAGATGATCACAGTACACCCAGAAATTATAGCAGTGACTACAGTGTTGTGTGTGTTTGTAAGAGTGGAACAGTGGGCAGAGTGAGGAGAGAGGGGGTTGGAGAAGATGGTACCAGCCTCGCGCTGATTACATCCGAGATGGACTGCTGCTGACAGAGGTGTGTGAAATGTGCTTACATTATGTGCGCATTGTCAAGGACTTGTTGGCCTCGTCTCTGTGTGGTTGCCCACCTGGCATGCTCAGGGGTTCTTCTTGGTATGAGTGTGAACCTGCTTTTGGTCTGTTCTTCCTTTTGATAGGTGATCTGTATACTACATGCAGTTATGTGGATTAATCTTACTGATCTAAGTTGGAGAACATTTGGATTGCAAGACCTAAGACTTTACCTTTATTGATGGTGTTAGATGCAAGTAGATAAGCTGCTTATATGCCTCGCATCTTTTGTGTGCAAAGCAGTGTGCTAGACAAAGGGACACTACAAAAATGGATAAGATTTGTCTTTTACATCTGAATACTAGAATG